GAATTTAATGTGCTTTGAATGCATATGTTATGCAATTAGCATAATGAGAAGATATTTTTATCATCAGCTGAAATATAATGTATTCATAAAATATGTTGGTTTTAACTATAGTTTCCTTGTCAACTAAATACTGGGGGTTATCTCTGCATATCAATGGGTTCGTCTTGTGGTTATTGTCATTGAGTGGATGTGATCTGGATCGGTAATCAGGATCCTGATGACTGAGCAACTCATTATGATCAGTCTCTTGACCCTTATATGATGGACATCGTACATGTATGCATTTTTATATATGATATCCTCATATCAACTGCTCCATCTAGAGGAAGAACGTGTATCATTTTTCCTTGTGGAGAAATGAGGATGTTACTCGTCAAGACAATTAGGACGTGGGTTGCAAATCCCCAACTGGTTGACCAGGTCAAAAGAGCTTTGTTGTTTCTTCATTCTAGGACCAAGTTTGTAAAACTTGATTGGACACCGATCTGAGAGGTCTGAGAGTGTCATCATATAGTTAGACTGGTCGCTTCATCAGTTTTGATTGGGTTCTAGTGACATTACTATATGTGATGTATTGTTATTGAGCAATGATTTCATGCAACCGTTGTATATTAATATGATGCAACGACCTTAAAAAACTATCTTAAGGTCATTTGTTTGATCCAAATTTTGAAATATACACTCTTTTTATTCTAATGAACAATTACAAAAAAGAAAAATTTGAAAACACAACCTTGAAAGTATTTTTTTTGCCCAATTAACATAGGCCATTCATTTTGGTAAGATGCTTAGATCTAGGCCTTGAGAAGGATTTTTTCATTTCAAATTTTTTTGGATGGCTTTATTATCATTAGATGAACAATATTAAAAAAGAAAAAAATGATTTTGAGTTTATAAAGGCTGAGAGCTTGAAATTTACAAAATAAATGGTCTAGATTCATTTTTGGAGTGGACTCATTTTGACCATATCTAGGGCTTTTGGGGGATTGAGTGGGTGTGCAAAATTTGGGGTCATGCAAATACCACAAACATGGTTTCCAGAAGTGTCATTGCGTTATACTATGATACAACCGTTGCATTAGATCATTGCTCATTGTTATTTATTATGTCTACTTGCTATGTATAATAGCTTGAGAATAGAGGTTGATACAACTTTTGCTCACCCCTACCGCTCTTTCGTTGGTCTGTATACATTAAAAATTTAATATAAAAGAAATAATAGAAGGATTGTTATTCGTGTGAAGGCTCTCACTGTAGATAGTCTGAAACAGAGAGAGCTACAAATTCCTGACAGATACCCCATGTGCAAAGGGACCGAAGAGAACAATGCCCAGCTTTTCTTACATTGCGAAGTGGCCACACTGCTGTGGAATGAGGTGCTACAAAGTTTTGGGTGGCTTTGGGTAACCTCACAGTCCACTCTCCAGCTCTGCCAAGCTCTCTATTCCCCTGGTTTCCCAGAAGTGGGGCTCTTTCTATGGAATGCATCATTGGTAGCAGTTATTTGGACCCTGTGGATTGAGAAAAATGCCAGGACATTTGAGAGTAGGGAGGTAGATCCAAAAACGCTTAACGATTGTATCAAAGCCATGGTAATCCTATGGGCTCAGAACCGCAAACTCTTCTAGGGTTTCCTGACCAACTTCCTCAACAGTTGGCAAAACATCTTTTTCAATGAGGCCTGCCCATCTCTCCTGGTCCTCCTTTTGGGGAACCCTGGAGACCCATCACAATAAACTTAATTTTGATGGTTGCTTCGGTGGCAACCACAGCCCAGCAGGTGTTGGAGGCCTTTTTCAAAGACCATATTGGTAACATCCATCTCTTGCATTCCAGCCATATTGGCATTGCTGATTCCACCGTGGTGGAAGCAATTGCACTAATAGACAGGATCAAGAGATACAACCGTGATTGGGGGGACACCTTGGTTGTTGAGGGAGACTCAAAAAATGTCATTATATGGACCTCAGGTGCTTCCACCTGCCTGTGGCGCTTGGAGCACATCTTTGAAGAAATTTCACTCCTTTGCAGACGCAAAACTGCAATATTCATTGAGATAGCGGATTTGTACCTGCCAATGCCATTAACATGCCATGATGTTGTCAAAAGCCTTTTGGCAGGGCTCAGGGGTTGTTTGGTTCATATGAAAATAATCCTCGATCATTTTTTAATATGAAACAGAGGTTACACATGTTTGGTTTGTACTTTTAAACCTGTGCGCACGGGTGTGCCTTGCATGCGCATCCCACCGGCCCATGCAATGTTGGGCCTCGGCGAGCATCATGGTGTTTGGAACCGAATTATTCATATTACAGACCACAATGAGCTTGGTCTCCTTTCCACATTTGTGGCGAGAAGCCAAACTATAGTGTGGATGCACTTCCAAAAGGAGGAGCGGTTCCACAGGTCTTCAGTGGATACTCTTCTTTATCCCTTTGAGTTGGGCTTCCCAGTGTTGGCATTTTTTAATTTTGCTTTTTTTGTATTAGTGCTCATCCTGAGTTCTGATTTTCTATATGATCTCACAGGAGCCCACTTTATGTGGGCCCAAGCCTTACATTGTAATTTTTCGGTACAGCAATACAAATACGTTGTCAACTTTTCCGAAAAAATAAAATAAAAATGGCCTGCATATCCTACGAGACCATTCTATGTGGGCCAGATTGATTGATGTCTTTTAATGAGCAAAACAATACTACTTGCAGTTGCATGTCATCCAATGAGTAAGGGTGATGCTAATAACAGGCACATGGATATAGAGTGGCGTCTAGAGCCTACAATCAAAGTGATCTCCTGTTGCATGTGACTTGTGAAGAAGTAGATGAGTGTCAGGATTGTCAGACAAAACAGCTCGAACATTTCTGATGCTATAAAATATCCATACTGTAATAGATACTTGTATACCTATTTCTTTAATGGCATAAACCATTAATATTTAATAGCATAATCTATTCTATTGTTAAGATAAAAATTTTGAACACACACTGGACTAAATGAGCCACAATCTTATACTCCTATGCAGTTCTTCATACTTCCCCTATAGTGAAGGGTGCAATCTCAGTATTTTAGAACCTATCTTTTTGTGCTGGGAGTCGCAGTTGACTTAACCCTGGAAGGCTGTCTTCAGGTGTCTCATAAAGTTTAAGCCAATGTTCACTTAAATATTCATTTTCTCGTGTCTTTTTGTTCCGATAACAAGAGAACCATTGAAGTGTTATTGTCCCAGCATGCGCTTTGCCATACTGAGATTTTGAGTTGAGTTTTGTGCAGAACAAAAATAACGAATCTGGGTGTTAGGATTGTCATCTGTTATCTAGATTTTTGGATGATGAATTATGTATGTCATGTTTTTTGATTTTTGCATGATGAATTATATATGTCATGTTTTCTTCCTACTGTTACCTCATGGTCTAAGTGTGTACTTGAGAGGAACTTTGGGGACCATATTATGCATCTAGTATAAGGTATTATGTGTACCCCTGTCAGTTTTTGCTACAGTTTACTTTGTGAAGGCCTAGTGGCTAGCTGGAGGAGTTGTGTGTTGGGAAGTTTTCTTTCTTTGGAGGAGGGTTAAGTTTGTATAATGCTATACGGAACTTTTCTGTTTGAGGCTTCATTGGTGAAATACTCTTGTATTTGTGGCTTTCTAGGGGATTATGCATGGACATACTAGTGTTGGGTTTCTGAGCTTAAACTGTGCTTTCTAGGGGATTAGGCATGGACATACTAGTGTTGGTGTATTTAGGAAGTCTGTTGTGGTGAAACTCTGGTTTTTGTCTCAAGAAATGACCATGGTCCTTAAAACGGTTTATTAGAGAGCTTAAAGAGGACTTCTGACCTTCGAAAATTGTTGCACTCCTTTCAGTCCATATGATCCAAAAGATGGTTGCATTGAGGTACGGTTGCATTGAGGTACGCCAAGGGAAGGTACCATCTGCAGCATAAGGGGGGCTGGTAGAAGGCTTGGAAAATGTGCGGCAAAGATTGGGGTAGAACCCAAGGCCTTGGAAAATGTGCGGCAAAGATTGGGGTAGAACCCAAGGCCAATGGAACCTTTGTAGCAATTTACCCCATAAACTACCAGCCAACTTGCAATGTAAAAATGGGCAATATATTGGTCTCTGCAACTGATTTTCGCATTACACATCATTTTGGGATTGGCATTCCTCTTCACTGTCACTGGTCTGTTGTGAGAGCTTTCTTGAGGATCAAAATCCAGCAAAGAGATTGGAATTTGGGAGGGATTTGAGTAAGCCAAGCTCTTCTTGCAATGTTTGAAACAGTTTCAGAAAAGGTTGGAATGGGGTGGTTGGAGTAGAATACCATAGAAAGAGGATACCGTAAATACTCCGAGGTTGATGGGGTAATTGGCCTGAGTTTATTGGTTAGTAATAGTGGTCACTTTTTAGGTAGTACTTTGAATATCCATTAAATTTGTACTAGTGCATTTGTCTATACATTATCTAGTTTTCCTCAAGGGGGCTAGTGGAAAATGGTTCATCTTAGGATAAGTATAAGAGGGTCTCATATTTTTAATTTTCATGTACATGGACGTTGTGCTCTCCTCATGGTATTTTTCTAAAGTTAATTGCGCAAGCTACATATGGCACTTGATTCATTTATTGAAATCATTTACTAGGTGCATTGATCATTCACAATAGTTCATATGGAAATCCTTAGGTTAATCACTTCTTGTGAAAGGACATACAGTCCATCATTTCTGATCCATATTGTGATTATAATCACATGCTCATAAGGTCGCTACCATCTGTATGCCCCACCCTTCCTCCTTCCCTGCGAACCCATTGAATGAATGGTTACCATAAGTAATAATCCTTTTGACCAGGTCAATGTGACTTATGGATCATATATACGTATCCAAAAATAAAATTTTGTGCAGCAGTAACTTTTTACTGTTTAACTTTCATACAAAAGAAAAAAAGCAATTTTACTATCTATTTGCCATATAGTCTCTAACCTTCTTTTATATTGCGCTATAGATGAAAGAAAGAGCTGAGAAGCAGGCAAATTGGAGGGCAAAAGAAGAGAGGAGGGAAGAGAAGAAGAGAGAGAAAAAAGAACTGCTTAGACGGCAGAGTTCTTTGTGGATCGATGAAAATGATTTGGAAAAGAGAGTGCTCGAGGCTATTGTTGATACTATACCCTTGTGAATCTATGGGATGCGGAAATTCTCATGTCGGGTTGCTTTTGTTTATCATCTCTCTTTTATTTGGTCTTGACATACAAAACTGGAAGGCCAACTCATATTTCATCTTTCTAATATTTAGGAATTGACATGAAAAATAGTAGTAATGAGATGCCTTACTTGTGTCATATGTTAATTTATTGTTTGGTGGATTACCTCGACTTAAAAATCTGGCCAAAACGTGGGGATAATGACTCAGAGGACTTTCAACTATGATGCAATGTTGTTATATTTGCTTTGGACAACGCTGCAACTTTATTCTGAAATGGATGATTTTTCAGCTCTTTTGGCAGATTCAGGGACAGGTATTTTTCTGAAATATTGCACATTTCGCTGTACATATACCAAATTTTGAATAGGGATGTTTTTTGAAAATTTCAATATTATATTCACTTCAATGGTATGGTGATTTGCTGTGCTTCACTGTATGGGTTTGAAGCTGCAGACTTTGGTCGAAGCGAAGTGAATTTGATAATCCACTAGGATGGACGTGGGAGGGTGTCAATGGTCTTTTCAGTCTCCTTCCTGTTTGTTTTTCCTTTTTTCAGTTGCTGGACCCCCATCTTTCTCGGGAGAATTTCCCAGCTGCTAATATTTACATGAGGTTGTTAAATTATGTCATGATTTATAAGTGGGCATGCAGACCAACCCATTGAACTTGTACACCTACAAAATGATGTTGATCATATATTCATTTGGAAATATAAACAAAATGGTGAATGCCATTATAGCTCAGTTATTAGCTCACAAGGAGAAGTATGCAGTCAGATCATTCAACACCTTAGGCAGAAGGAGATGACGGTTAACCTTGGCCGTTAGATTCAAATGCGGTCTCATTCAATTTAAAATTTTATGGGTTGATAATTTGGACCATCGTGATAATGAATATTTAAAAATAGGACTTTGAACCTTAAAATTAGTTCTATGCCATTTTTCGCAAAATCATGGGTCTAAATTACAATAGAGTGACTTTGATTTTCAACTGTAAAATAGCGCTTAGAAAGGGGATGCATTCGAAGTAGATCTCATTTAAAACCTTCCCATCAAGTAGAAATGTTTTCAAGAATTTAAGAACGACTTTTTAAGGATTTAAAACTACTCACGGTAATGCCCGATCCCTCATGTAAAGTGGCTCAAGAAAAGGCCTATTCGGCACCTGAAGTCGTTTGAGCAAAATCATGGTAGATTATTGAAAAATGCAAAACTACATCGTTTTACTTGGATACTTTACATCTTCCTATCGTTGGTAGGATTTTTAGAAAAACTTTACTTCTTCCTATTTTTGGTAGGATTTCTAGAAAATCATGTTTTCTATTAAGAAACTTTATCCCGACTTTTGGGAAAGGGGCTGAGTTCGTGGTGGTAATATACCTCATACCTCAGTTGCACATTATAGCTTCCATTCTTATTGATAACTTAAAAAACTACTAACTAACTAAAAAACGGATAGGGGCTTATCATCCCCACTGAATTACTCAAAAAAAAAATACTGAGAATTCTATGTTTTGCATTACAGAGCTCCAACATTCCGCCTTTGTTGAAAAGGTGTGAGCTTTCCTAAGGACCAGATTGCATTTGTCAGCAAATATCTTTATCTACATTTGGTGGTTACAAATGAGCATTGTCTGTGTCTTGTTCCTTCTTGTTTCGCTCACCTCTAGTCGTCATGTGACATCCAACAGTTGGAGCTATGGGTTTAATAATAATAGGGAAGGATATCGGATACTGTCAGTATTTCAGGTCCAGCAGGTGGCTTAATCACAAATGAGGCCGAAGCAAAAGCAGTCCACGACAGACTGAAACTGATAAGATGTAACCTAGGTCTTAAGATCATCATAGAGTGAGACTCTATAAACACTATAAAGTGGTGCAGATGGGACCATAAAATTTTATGGACACTATGCCCTATCTGTTTTCAAATTAAAGATTTAACTTTAAGATGCTAACTAAAAATTGGGTTTTTTTTTATTTTTATTTTCTAAATTTTAGAAAAAGTGTTATTTAGGTTTTTGAGTTTTCTTTAGGGTTATTCTTGTCTTCTTTTTTATTTATTTTTTATTTTTTTAGTTGTTGAGATTTAAGAGGTAGAAATGGAAGTTTATTTTCTTAAAAGGATTTGGATAGGATTACTGGTTGGGTTGGTTAGGATATACATGATGTTAGCATGGTTAGATTGTTAGGATACGTTGGACTAGGAAACATGATTCATTTCATGGCTTGTGGGATGTGTAAAAGAGATGGGTAGAGAAGCAATTTTTAGATTGTGTTCTTAAATCTAAGGAGATAATAGATTGAATAATAAATAAAGAGTTTGATATTTTTTATTCTTTTGTTTATTAGTTTTCTCCCTGCATTGGAGAATAAAGAGTTTGATCATGTGAAAAAAATCTTGGGGTATACGCCCTTGCAGACTTTGAGATAGAGTATAATCTTTCAAACCCTTTTTATTTTATTTTATTTATTATTATTTTTCATTGCATCACTTTCTGATGGAATATTGAATTCAAGCTTGCTATTGAGTCATATGGAGGTCGATGTCTCAGCTAAACAAGAAGTTCATTATCTTGATCTTATGTTCCACAAAGTTTGATTTGCATACTATAATACTTGTATAACAATTCTGTTTTTTGGAAAATTATCAAAGATATACCTTACTTTTTGGATTATTGAAAATAAAGCCTAAGCTTTTCAAAACCTCATCCATACCCCTTTTTTGGGTGAGTAAATGAAAAGAACCTTCTCGGTAGTCTTAGAACTATGAAGACATCACGTTCTATTGAAAACCATGATGGTCAGTAACGGGTTGTAAGTCAAATGTAGTTTTGAAGCATCACAACACTTAAAGAACCTTGATGGTTTATTGAATTATCACGATTCTAATTTAACTGTTATATTCTTACCTCAGCATCACAGCTTTTAAAGTATTGTGATGCCTTAACTACCATCACGACTGTTGTTTAAGGGTCGTGATGTTTCAAAACATTAAACCGTCTATGACCATCACGGTAGTGAGTCTATCGTAATGTCTTCACAGTTCTAAGACTGTCATGAAAGCTATTTTGGTAAAAAAAAAACACAAGAAGTGAAGAAAATGGGTATGGATAAGGTTTTAAAAAGTTTGTAGTTTATTTCCAATAATTCAAAAATTAAGGTGTATATATATATATATATTAATGAAATTGGCTAGAGTTAATATTCGAAAAAAATGAAAGAAAGAAAGAAAGAAAAAGAAATGTGTCACAAAGTTAAAAAAGATTTATTTAGTACTCAGTCCAGTCAAAGGCACAATCTCAAACCAACTTATCTAAATGACTATATTTGTACTTCAGCCTGCAACAGTTTCCTCACTCTCTCATCGCACACTTCCAAACAGTCTTCTTCAAGGCTTGTTGCCCCAAGTAAACCCTACCATATTGCCACTTATCTTCTTAATTGGAGAGATGCCATAGCAGCATAACTTCAGGCTCTTGAAGAGAACAAAACCGGGACCCTATAGCCCTTAAGCACCCCATTGGCTGCAAATGGATCTACAAGGTTAAGTTCCTGGAAGGAATTAGCCTTTACACCAATTGGATATCAACAACACTTTCCTGCATGGTGATTTACATTCGGAAGTTTACATGACGACTCCACCTGGTTATACCCGAAAGAGGGAGACTCTCGTTTGCCGTCTTTGCAAATCTTTCTATGGCCTCAGGCATGCCTCTCGTTAATGGTTTGATAAGTTCTCCACCGCTCTCAAAACAGTTGGTTTCAAATAATCCATTGTTGATTACTCTCTGTTTACAAGCTCCCATGGTCACCACTTTACTGCAGTACTTGTTTATGTGGATGATGTGATTGTTACTGGCAATGATATTGACTCCATCAATCGTTTGAAATCCTACTTGGATGCGAAATTTCATATTAAGGATTTGGGACGGCTCAAATACTTTCTTTGTATCAAGGTTGCCCACTCAGCCAAGGGCATCTTCCTTAGCCAACGAAAATACATCTTGATTTTGTAAGAAACTAATTTTTTTGGATCCCAACCAGTCTAATTCCATAGAGAAAAATCGTTGATTAAGGGTTGACAATAGTGATGGTTTAGATGACCCTGGTTCTTATAGGCGTCTTGTGGGGCGACTCATCTACTTGACAATTACGTGCCTCGATATCACTTACTCGGTAAATGTGCTCAGCCAATTCATGCAGACACCTCACAAGCCACACCTTGATGCAACTCAACGAGTTCACTGCTATTTGAAGGCCACTCCAGGGCATGGCATTCTGCTTCCCTCTGCAAGTGACTTAAAGCTCACAACCTACTCTGCCTCCGATTGAGAAAATTGTCCTATGACTCGTCGTTCTATTATGGGGTATATTACCTTTTTAGGTGCAAGTCCAATCTCTTGGCGCACCAAGAAGCAAACCACTGTGGCGCGTTCTTCAGCAGAGGTTGAGTATCGATCCATGGCCATCTCTTCTTGTAAACTGACATGGCTTAAATTTATGCTTACTGATCTTGGGGTTTCTCACTTTCGGCCTATGCACCTTCACTGTGATAACCAAGCTGCTCTCCGCATTGTGGTCAACCTTGTCTTCCACGAACGTACCAAGCACATTGAATTGGATTGCCACCTTATTTGAGAAAAGATACAATCGGGCCTCATCTCCAACTCATATGTGCCATAACGCTTACAACTAGCGGATATCTTCACTAACCCACTTGGTTGTGAGCATTTTCATCTGTTATTACCCAAGCTGGGCGTTACGTGCCTTCACGTATAAACTTGAGGGGGAGTATTAGGAAATTAAGTTTTGAATTCACATATAGGTTGGATGAGTTTGAATTTATGTGTAGGTATGGATATGTTTGAATTAGAAGATCCAATTTGTAGTTTGTTATTGAATTTGAGATGTATGATTCATACGCCCCAAGGATCGGGTCACGGGCTCGTTGGTTGGCCTAGTAGATGATCGTCCTCATCGCCTCTCCCTTCTCTCCGTCTGGGCACTCCTATACGCAGTGTGTTGTCCATTCTTTACTTATACATTTTGCTTGGCTTGTGTTCCCTCATTGATTGATCACGTCTACAGATAATAACTCCACCTCTATAATAAATAATACGACCCCAGCAAACCATGGTATACTTAGGACAATGGCTTCAACAACAAGATAGTTGATGGGCTTGGAGGAAGCTATGCATTCTATTACTCATCACCATTCTACCTACATCCTTCGGATAATCATCGTATGATCTGAGTATCTTAACAACTTACTGATGATAACTTTCCCACTCGAAAACGTGCCATTAAAGTGGCACTTGTAGCCAAGAATAAGCTATGTTTCATTAATAGAAGTTTGGAGAAACCAAACTCTTCTCCTTCCACAATTATGGCGGGGAACGCTATAACAACATGATAATTTCATGGTTTCTCGACAGTGTTGCCATTGACATTGGCAGCATCGTAAATTGCATTGATTCTGCCCATGAAGTGAGGTTAGACCTTGAAGATAGATTTTCTCAAAGAAATGGTATGATAATCTATAAATCGAAGCGGTCTATAGCCACATTTCGGTAAAAACAATTGTCGATTTGTACTTACTATACATCCTTAAAAACATTGTGTGACGAGTTGGCTTCTTATACAAATATGTCATCTTGTTCATGTGGAGTAAGCAAGGAGTTGCAGGCTTCTTTACAATCTGAATGTGTTTATCAGTTTCTTTTGGGTCTAAAAGAGACTTTTGAAACAAAGGACCCAGATCTTGGTCATAGAACCCATGTCAAACATCAACAAAGTTTATTCCTTAGCTCAACAAGAAGAAAGGCAAAGGAGCCTCCAAATTACTAGCGCTTCTACTGGAGAAGTTGTTGCTCTAGCAGCTTCGCGTGTTCGTTGTCCTCAAAACCCAAGAACATCTGGTCATGGAAAACAAGGATATGCCTCCACTTGTGATCATTATGGTGGAATGGGCTATGGCCATAGCAAATGTTTTGAGTTACATGGGTATCCAACATGGCAGCCAAAATCTCGTATGATTGTTGCTTCACGTGGTGGAGCTTCCAAAGCAGCAGTTGTTACAACACCCTCTATAGATTCTACTGCTTCATTTTCTCCTCCTCCTTCAATTGGGACTGTAGTTCCAGTTACACAACTTACCACCAGTCAATACCAACAACTTTTATCTCTTTTGAATCTTGATGGACAGTCCTCTGCAACAAACTTTGCAGGTATACAACATTGTAACTTTGCATGCTAGTTGTTGTATAAGTGATAGGTATGCTAGTAGCATTTGGGAGACATACAGGTTTATCATTAGAATTTTCAGCAGCATGAGAAAGAAATGATAAGTTGGTTGTAAAGTGGTTGGAAGCACCTGAATCAATGATCCAAGAGATAAGTGGGATGCAGAGTTACAATGTTGTATACTTAGAAAGTTTGTTGTAGAGGGTTGTCCATCAGCATTCAAAAGAGATAGAACTTATTAGTATTGGCTAGTGGTGAGTTGTGCAAGTAGAAGTGCAGTCCCATTCGAAGAAGAAGGAGCAAATCAAGTAGTATAATCAACAGAGGGTGTTGTAACAACAACTGAATTGTAAGCTCCACCATGTGAAGCAACAGTCATACGAGATTTTAGGTGTCATGTTAGATACCCATGTAACTAAAGACATTTGCTGCGGTCATGGCCCATTCCATTGTAATGATCACAAGTGGAGACAGATCTTTGATTTCCACGATCAGATGTTTTTGGGTTTTGACGTGGACGAACAAGCGCTAGTTGAAGCGCTAGTAATTTGGAGGCTTCTTTGCCTTTTTTCTTACTAAACTAAGGAATAAACTTTATTGATGTTTAGGATGAGTTCCATGGTCAGGATCTAGGTCCTTAGCATTCTAAAAGTCTCATTTAAACCCATAAGAAATTGATAAATACGTTCCGATTGTAGATGGGCATATAACTTCTTGCTTACTCCACCTGAACAAGATGACATCTTTGTATAAGAAGCCAACTTGTCATAAAATGTTTTTAAAGATGTGTAGTAAGCAAAAACCGACAATTGTTCTTGCTGAAATGTGACTATGGACCGCTTTAATTCATAGATTCTTGGACCATTTCTTTGAGAGAATCTATCTTCATGGTCTAACCACACCTCATGAGCAGAATCAGCACAACCCACACTGTTGCCATTGTCAATGGAAACGTTGTTGAGCAACCATGAAATTATCATGTTGCTATAGGGTTTCCAAGCCATAACTGTGAAAGGAGAAGAGTTTGGTTTCTTCAAACGTCCATCAACGAAATATAGCTTATTTTTTGCTGCAAGTGCCACTTTAATGACACACTTCAACGTGGGTAAGTTATCACCAGTAAGTCGTTGAGATAATAATATCATACCAAGATTATTTGAAGGGTGCAAGTAGAATGGTGTGGAGTAATCGAAGGCATAGCTTCTTCCAAACCCATTACTGTCTTGTTGTTGACGCCATTGTTTTCAGGTATACCATAGTTTGTTGGGATCATGCTATTCCCTGTAGAAGTGAAGTCATTGTTTGTAGACATAATCAATCAGCAAGGGAACACAAGGCAAGCAAAAGGTATAAGGAAGTAATGGATAACACACTGTGTATGGGTTAAATTGGGTTACTGTTATGATACCATGATAAGACGTGAAAAACTTATTTTCATTATGGGCAAATCGTTACACTTATAGGTGTACACGATGATACAAAGAGATATCAAATCCCATGATTGAAAGGATGTGATCACTATAAAAGGAAAATAGTGATCTCAAATCCTATAATTGAGGGTTAAGCTAAGTATAAAAGGAAAGTAGTGATAACAATAACAAACTATAGATTGAGTCTTCTAATTCAAACCAATCCACACCTACACGTGAATTCAAAACTTGAATTCAAACCCATCCAACTTATACGTGAATTCAAAGCTTAATTTCCTAATAGATTTTACATTGAATGGCTAGTCATCGTGAGCTCCTTGAACCCACGGTAATTAGTGTTAAGAATTGTATACTATGAGACAATGTAATTTTTTTATAAGGAAGTCACAATCACTTTTAGCCATTGAATGTGAAATCCAATAGATGAAAATGGGTTCCAACATTTGAGAAAGTTTGTTTTAGACTTTACCCCTCAACAATGACACATCCTCAACCACCCGATTTCAAGTCTAATGGTCAATAATTGATTGCAACCTCCTTGTATAAAAAATAAATGGTGCCATTGTATACAATTCCTTAGTGCCATTGCATTTTTCCTCTTGAGAATTTTGGATATATTGGCATGATTACAGCTACCGTAATTGTTGTTTGAGTGTACTATTGACTTTTTTTTTCTAAAAAAAAGTGACACAGGTATCAAAATAGGAAATTTACATATGGACCAGGTTTTTTTTACTATTATAACAGAATGATGCAAAAATCTGCCGTTATTACCTGAAAAGACGGAGCTCCAATTTTTTTTATTTTTTGTCAAATTTGCCCCCAGTTCGAGTTTTAAAATATTGGACCACTTTATTTACACCCCCAGAACTTTGTTTCGCTTGCTCTCGACCGTCTCTCTCCCTTTCAAAAATCTTGCTCTCTCTCTCTCTACTATCTCACCTCATTATTAGGCCTCTTTCACTCTCCCTCTCTCAAAGCCTTACTCCCATTACTACTCCCATTACCCTGCAGATGTGAAGAGTAAAGAGAGAGAGGGCCTTTGGTATTGACTATTTTGGTTGTTGTAAAAAGAGGCAATGGCCTTTCTTCCTTCCAATATTTCTCCAAATTTTTATATCTTTGTTTCCCGTATGAATTTTCTCCCTCTATCTCTTTGATCATGATGAGGCAATGGATTTTCTCTTCCTCTCACTAACCCAATAATTTGTCCATCTCTTTCTCACTTCTCCATTCTCTCAACCATGTAATTACCGACACAGGTTCACTTGTAAGCATAAAGCTGAAATGAAGGACCCAGTTCTTGACACAATGTCGCTATGGAGAACGATCTCAAAGCTGTGCGCGAGCTCAAGGACATGATTTGTAGGCACACGGATGGCTGCTTGCCCATTTACTCGCTGTTGAAAAGGCACAGGCAAATGGGACATAAATTACCGAAATCAAGAGAGTTTTGTTAGAATAGAATCTGTATCAGAAGATGGCCTTGGATTCGACATGAGAGGGGAAGGGAAGATGGGAGACAATGGTTTGATTATAAGGTGGTCAATGTTTGAAAAATCGGACCGGAGGCAAATTTGGCAAAAAAAATAAAAAAATTTACGGATTTGTCTTTCCAAGTAATAACAGCTCATTTTCAGGCCATTCCGTTATAACAGTAAAAAAAAACCCAATCCGTATGTAGATTTCCCTATCAAAATCTATTTCGATCCATATGCAAATTTCTCTATCAAAATCAATTGAAGAATGGAGATTAACTTATAAGGACGCAATACTCTTGCTGTTCTTCGAACTGAGGGCAAACTTGACAAAAAAAATAAAAAAATTTGCGGATTTGTCTTTCCAAGTAATAACGGCCCATTTTCAGGCCATTCCGTTATGACAGTAAAAAAAACCTAATCTGTATGTAAATTTCCCTATCAAAATCTATTTTGATCCGTACGTAAATTTCTCTATCAAAATCTA